TCTCACATGGCGCGTCGAGGTATCCGCTCTCTTGATAGGGACTGCAGCGATGCTCTTATCCCTTTTACCACAACATGGCGATATCATGAAGGATGATGTCGATAACGTCATCGTCCCCAACAACAAAGGACAACTACAAGGTTGATGATTGAGAGATCAACATTCCCACCTCTAAGATTTTAATAACGCAAAATGACAACACAGTATGGGGAGAACAGTTAGAAGCGGCAGTAGCAGCAACAGGATTATGCGCAGCTTCTACCATAGCATTGTTACACGATATGATGCCAATTGATAGGAGTGTGTTGTAATAAGGACTACACTGCAGATCGTGCTCGACTCTCCACCCCTGACTGCTGAAGCTGTTGAGTTCTCGATGATCGCCTGGCGCTGTCTGGTGAACTACTCGAAGACTCTCTTCCCCCATGCCCATGGTGATGTCCTATTCTCTCCGGCATCGTCAGCTTATCCAACTTGTTCACGACAGCTTGCTGAGACAACATCTCCGGACCGACCACTTCAATTCTATACACTCACTTTGTCCGCCACAAACTGCTTCTCCTCACTTTGGGACTTGTGGACACCACCGCTCGAAATCACTGCCATTTCTAATTTATCCAACAACTTCACAAGCCTCGCTCTATTCTGGTACAGAATCTGTTGCACCTGAAAGAGGCCTTATACTAACCGCTCCAGACGGACCCCGGCCAACCCACCGCTGGCGCCTTATGAGGATTCGCCGCAAAAATTTTGAAGACATGGAAGGCTTCTACTTGAACTGCCTTAGAGCTGTTCCCAAGCAGTATCATGACCGACTTCAAGTAACGCTCCTCGTTAACAAACCTTACCATAACCTGACCCACACTCTTAATAGAGACAGAAACGCTCTACCAGCACAACACATACACTTTTTTCGAATACCCCAGGGTGACCCCAGACGACTGAGTTAAGCCATGGTTGTGAACAACATCACTACTAATGCATGCTCTACGCGATCTATCCTTCACTATAACTACCTTCATGAAAGGTCTGTCGAGTAATATGTCTCCCAATAACTTCAAAGACTGACGAAGAGTGACGTACTGCGTATCTCCCGATGACGTATCCAATAGCTCCTGGTACCTGAATCATCATCATCACTACTGCTAGTGTAGTAGCAAACTCAATCACTACTTATTAAAGAATTCATCAAAGTTGTCGAGCAGCCAACGAACAGAGACATCTTTATGGTTCATCAGAACCTGACAGTGAACATTTACACTGTGCTCAGGGGCGAGCAACTGGATTGAATCCTTTAAGTACAACCATTAACCGCGATAGTTCCTCGCGACCAAGACCCAGAAGTTTATCAAGTACCTCTTTAAGAGTCTCAAATCCGTCCGCTTGCGTATCGAAATTATGCGAGTGCATGACGTCGAAAAGTTGGTAAATCAAACCTGTCATAGCAGGAAAGGGACCTTCCCGAGAGAGTTCCGATGAGGATGGGGCCCACCAGAGTTGAACATCTGCGACTGCACAACATCATGGAATTTACACGCATCACGGATCATCACGCCAACGTGTATTGAGCAATCAGGAATACTATAGCACGACATCAGGCACTGATGGCGAGGAAGACCAGTATCACCTATACCACTAACGGTGAATACTACCCTCATGCAATCCGGATGCGTCATCAAATACGCTAAATTGACCCTCTCGTGGGTCTTAGGTGACTCCAATTTCAACAGATGCCCCCAGACCTGCTACGCCGTCTACCATACACACTACTAAGCCTCAGCGACCGTCACCTGTACGCACGAGCGCCTAAGCTCAGGGCTAGCTACTGCAATATGCCGAGCAATCTTCAACAGGAGGTTACTCCTGAGCGTGGTGATAGTAACAACAGCAGCTTACTCCACCACATAATCATTACTGTAGACTCTGGTTGACCACTTTCTGAATATCCTCTGATTTCGGCGGTTTACGCGCACTAGTAACATTGCCATACTAAGCAGATGAGGATATTCACAATTATATAAGGGGTCACTACTTGGGTCGGAGGGCCGGCATGGGTATCTGCCTTGTGGTCACCAGAAGCACCACTAGTGGTTGGGATCACTACTGACGCTAGGAAGTCCTCAAGCTGAGGTAAGCAACAACAGATGTGAAGGAAATGTGGTAAGCCAACGACTGACGCTTACCGGGGCATATTTCTTGGTCTCAGTCTCTGACACTGAGGAAAGGCTCCTCTGAAAGGACTTTGACATCGATAAAGATACCTACGAAGGTCAGCCACGATACGCTACATAGAGCTCCTAACTAGTACTACCGTCATTCCGGTAACAGAGTTGGAATTTGCCGATTCCTCAATAACGTCGGGAAGACCCTGTAGCTCATCCGCCATCTGTTTCACCAACTCCTGTGGTTTCTGTTTCTTGTAACCCGCGGGCCTACAGCAGTGGTGTCGGGTAACTCATCACTACGGTAACGCTTACTTGAAGATGTTTTGAACAAAATTGAACATGTTGTCTCTGATTCCGATGCATAAACGCTGCAGTTGGTTTGGCAAATCTCCGAGAAGTGCGAAAAACAAGTAATAAATCCTGTAGGGAAATAGACCACCAATTTCAAATGATGCTATTCACCTTTGGGTTCTCTTCTAGGCTCTTTTCTTGTACGTCTAGCTGCTCTGATAGCTGGATGCTGAGGCGACAACGATAAGATGATACAGTTGAATACTACTACACCAACAACAACAACTACTACTACTACTTCAGTCAAAGGAGACGATGTTCCTGACTCCGCTCCTACCGAGCCTTGTAGAAGAGCTGGTGACGAACGGTTGTTAGAAGTACGGGTTTTGACCCTAACACACAGCCACAGTGACTTCTCAGACCAATGAGTGTAACTACCTTGGTGGTGCTAGTCTTTTACTAGCAGATGAAGATTGAAGGCGGTTCTTGTTGCTGACTGAACTGCTACTACCTCCTCCTAATGCGAACGAGTTAGAACCCTGACTTCTCTTGGCTCCTGCTAGACTCAGTGAAAGAGGTGGTGGCGGTGGTGGTGGAGTAGACCTCGGTTTGTGTTGTTTAACTTGAGCAGACGCTACCGCTGTTCCCGGTGTACAAGACCGGCTAATGCTCATGCGTGCCCAGCAGCACCGTACTCTTTCTTACTCCGATGAGATACATACGCGCACGCCCTAGTAATCGATTATCTCCATTTGTGGAGGTGCCGAGTGGTTGCGGAACTAGGAAATCTGACGAGATCCATGACAGTGCGATGACCCCATCTCGGAGTAGGGTCTCTCATAAACTCGGTCCTGACTCGTTTAGGAAGTACGAACAGTGTTCGTCGAACACCCAAGCTTATGTTACTAACAGGGGACGGGCGATGGCTGCCGTAACGTTTTTTCACTTATTGATCCACATGTTTGCAATTGGCGAGCCGCTGGCAGCAAGTACAGTAGGAGTTAAGTTCCGATGTGTCCAAGGCTAAGCACTAATTGTATTCTTGCTCCCCATCGACGTCATCTATGTAATGCAAAAAAGAAAAGAAGAAACACCGTTATGCTCAAGCAACGGATGACCGCGAACGGGATGTTGGTGATGTCGGGATCCTGTTGAGCACTATAAGGTGTCCTATAGTAAGAACGTTAATGTTGATATGACCACTACCCTCTCTAAGACGAACACTTCTACATTACCCCAGACCGCAGCTTACAGATGAAATCGTTGAAAGAAGTCTTCGGTCATCGACAGACCCGAACGATGATATCGCGATGATCAGGCACATACGGAAAGTCTCCGGGAACAAAGTGATGTGTGAAACGACAGAAGGGTGAGACTCATCACCGCTATTGATTACTCACAACTCTTTTTACGAACAGGCTTGTCTCCTAAAACACCTGAAAAAGCTCCTGTCGCCAACCTTATACCGAAAGTTGACAAGCGTCATAAAAAACTGCAGCAGTGGCGACGGCCTATGAAGTGATTATTGTCACGGCGCCTCTACCCGTTGCCTGTTTATGCCCGATGACCGAGTTGAAGTTTCGTATGGCCGGCGATTTCCTATGTGTTTCACGAGCTCCATAGTTTTGGTTGTCATACGTATCAGTATTTAACCCTTCATTTTATGAGAACTGTCAAGCTTCATCGATACTCATGCTTATATACTCGCGCCTTCCATACAGGGGGCTTCAGATATGCTATGCTCAAGATGGTAAGAAACCTTCAAGGTCACCACGTGCGTCGAATGGTCCAATATTATTTGCTCCTTGTTGACTTCCCAACACGACATACTCATCACCAAAAACACTTGTGGTAACTATTGCATGATGATTCCAACGAAAGGACGACGCTCAAACTGTCTGCTTAGAGCCGTAAAGACCACTCCTGCAGTCATCAAGACCATCACGGTCATGTACATAGTGCTTCCGTTTGTTGCATGTCCGCTCGAAGTCTCTAACCTGACCAGAACCATCCATAAGTGTCCTGCTCAACCACGACTTACCTCCTTCACACACTGGGAGATATCCCCCATATGGTTCTCGATGCACCGCCGTAGAGGCATCATGGTACACACAGTGACATTGCGGGTGACCTTAGGCCTGTTAGCAGCCATCATCTTCAGCCAATGTTAACACAGCCTCTCGAGCTGCGGGATCAACTACGACAAGACAACATACCACACTTCTACCATCTCATCAGCGCAATACCTAACTAATGTAGGGGAGAAACTAGAATGGTAGAGAGACAGAGAAGTAGAGATGATACGAGTACGCGATCATCAAGGCTTTTGACCCACGAAGGCGTATGATGACCAACGTCAATCAGTCATGCCCAAGTAACGTGTGCATAGGTCCCGTTCGAGGCCTCGAAGCTCTACTACGTTATTGGTCACCTCCAGGCTGCCGACGACAACCTAACTAGTCTAAGTTCATAAGAAGTAAGGTAACAGCCACTGACCTGTACGGCGCCTCCAATAGCCCTCAGAGTGCTCTTACACATCTCGGCATCAGCGAACATGCAGGCTATAATGATTCTCGAGGGGGAGACACCCTGAGCCTGCAGCGCCCTCACAGCCGCAACAGCGAGCTCTTGATCAGCCAGAACCGCCATCAAAATAACCACAATCTGACCACAGGACTTTGCAAAGACCATTAACGCTGGCGATCTACTCACGCTGTTCTGAGCCTTGGTCGGCAAATAGACCACCTCGACCAGAGGGGGACCCGACACGAAACTCATGCTTGAAGAGCCATCCAGAGCACCGTTGCTTCTCACTGGTGAGCAACATGGACTACCATCCGTGACCACTGCCCCAGGAAGGTGTAGTGGAGTAGGCTCTGAATATCATTCGAACTAATACCACTCCTTACGAACATTATCCCACTACCAGCCAACTTGGGTGTGGCACCAGTTTGCAGATTACATTCACTGCCAGCCGCTGCACTCGAGGTTGGGGATCCTCCGCCGAGGAGCACACTGTGTGGGGCTAGGGAACCCGAGGCGAGGAAGTGGCGTCGAGCCGTGAGTAGGGCTCGAGGGACTGTCAGCTTACCAAAACTACACAGCCTGTAAACCAAGGAGATCCCATCCCATACACAGCCGCATGGTCTACTACCTATCGTGTTGCTTCACACCAGACTCCATTACGTCTCCATACCCAATCAGAGAGGCGTAGACCACCGATTCACTGTGGTCGGGGGCAGGAGGCTCCCCAGCAAACATAATGCCGTCAATATATCGGACGATTAGGTAACTCAGACGGTCACAGTAGAAGAGGAGGGACTCTCTACGGAGCTCTCGAGGCTTCCGCAGCACACGAGTGATGTATCCCACTTCATCACTAGACTTCAACTCGTGTATCATGTACTGTGGTTCGTCATCATGCAGGCCCTGAGGGGCCAGGATTATGACATTCGCCTTGCCCACAATGACAGCCTACCACATCTGCTAGAGTTCTATGAAAGCTGAGGAGGCCTCTAGCCATGAGCTGGAGGCGGATGACCTGTACTATGGCCTGGAGTGCTATAACGTTCTCGACACCATCTGGTATGATGAGGTCGGCATATTTCATACATGGCTTGAGGTAGCGCTCATGGGACAGCTTTATAGTACTTAAGTACCTGTTAGGTTACACCTAGGCTGGTACTGTAAGTAAGCTCATAGTACTTGGAAATGACAGAGTCTACACTCTCCCCCATCCCTCTAACATCACGGACGAGGCGTCTTGCCAGCCTAGTATCATCATCACAATGAATGAACAACCTAATGCAGACAATGCATTATACGCCCCTTTCAACAGTGGGTACTACCGCAGGTCGAGGAGGTCTCTGACTGCCTCCCAATAGATCGCAAAGATCCCTTCGAAGATTACTACGTGGACTCCCGAGACCTTCCGAGCCCTACACACAAGCCACTATCTGTTAAAGACCGACACCTCCCCGATTCACCTGTCGTTGCGGAGCCTTGACCGCATATCGTAGTGAGGGATGAAGACGTTTAATCCCTTCTTGAGGTCCAACAACGTCCTTATCATCAAATCATAGTCGAACTAAGACCACCACCAATGCACAAGGAGCTGCCGCTCACACCTACCGCATCAGGATGATCGAAGTTGTAGTTCTCATCGTTGACCTCAGGATACGCCCTAGCATCCTTGTAGAAGGAGGACTGATGGATGACCTAACACCATCCCAATAAGGATGCTAAGTGGGAAGAGTGTAGCACTGACGACCTCCAAATCTTCGTGTAGGTTGAGCTGTGATGCAATCTCCATGGCGATCTCGGTCTTGCCGCTCGCCGTCCCTCCGGCAATACCAATCATTAACGGACCAGATTGGGAGCTTATCGATGACGAAGAGGAAGATACCAGCGGGACAGTGCTCCTCTCCACCGGTGATGGCGCTACAATGTAGGCAACAATACCACTCCTACTCAAGTCGTTGCACATCTTACTAGAATCAGGAGTGACCACAGGGGCGATAGCAGTAGGTCCTTCACCGGTTGTCGTGGAGGGCTGTGGCGCTGTCATGATGGAAGGCGAGTGTATCCAATCAGCACACTGTCAACCCATGATTAAGACAACTCCCGACTCAACTCCCCATCAGGACAGAAGGAACGGTGCTTCAAGTCGCGTATTAGCTCGTAATGTTAACGACATAGTACCTTCGAAACAAGAACCGACATCCGGTACCAACAAGTAGCAGCAGACGTGCTGCTCAATGACGAGGCGGACGGTCCCCTCTGGGCTGAGCAGGCTTGGCCCAGTCGAGCTTGAGAATGAGGTTATCGTAACTAAGGACACCCGAGCTGATCCCAAGCGGTATTGTAAGGATCTACCCATGTCCGTTGAGTTTCTCAAGAGCCTTCTCGGCATCCTTCTTGTTGTAGTACGTGACGAAGGCGAAGCCCTTGGAAAGGCCAGTCTCGGGGTTGCGAGCTAAGGGAAGTGTTCAGTGGGAGAGAAGCACGACCACCGACAGGAGTCTCACCAAGATAGATCCTCTGGACACGACCAGCGGTAGAGAAGAGCTGCTGGAGGTCACCATCACCGACATCCTCAGAGAGGTTTGACACACTGAGCGAGCAATACTCTAGTGTATAGGAGTGTATACCTACCGTAAGGTATGCTCATCCCTATCCTTCTGTTGATCGAAAGGCCTAGCACCACCGCCGAGACCGCGCTGGTTTGGTGGAACATAGCGGCCAGTCGTGTGGGTGCGAAGCTATATTGAGACACACCATCACCGCCATGGGAAGTGTTGAGGGGTTCTACCGGAATAGCCTCCTTCTCAGCCTCTCCATCGGCCTCTCCTTCAGTTTCACCACGGAACTTAGTCCATACGCTAGCCTTCTTCTTGTTGAGACCGAGGACCTACGGCCGGTGATGGGACGAAATATGTGCCTGGCGCACTCCCTGTTACTACCTGATCCACACTTGCGGTCCAGAACTTCTCCTGGTCAGCGCCGGTCTCGTCCTCCGCGGCAGCGCTAGCACCAGTGAGTTTGCTAGGCTCTAGGTTTATCTCATCTTCGGTACGGTTCGCAAAAGTGCTATTTTTGCTCGTCTCTACCGCCTTTCCGAAGGGAGTCCAACGTCTCCGTCTGATGAAAGCACCCCTGCCCTCCACACAGCACCCTATAGGTACTACCTTTCGGCCTCAGCCTTGCTGCACGTTACTCGAACTGTGGTGACCTTAACGACTCTAGTGATCTTATACACGGCCCCATCTCTCTCCTGGTACTCGGTTATCGTCTTAAGGCCAGTCTCGGGATCTGAAGGCCCATCATGAGACTAGGCGGAAATCTTAGGTCGACTCTAGGGAGATATAAGTACACTACTAATCCTTACCAATGTCCGTCTCGGTAGCGGGTGGTACCTCCCTATTGCTGGGTGATATGGGATCCTCGTCAGCCCATCGGCCGGTTGTCATTAATGAAGTCATACCGCCACTGATGATTGATACGTTGCTGCTTCACGGCGGCGGTCTAATCATAGTCGCGCTCGCCATCATGATCGATATTAACAGAGCAGTTTCGTGGACAAAGTCGTCTCCTTCCCTTTCGATCAGCTCTGTCGAGCGGGGCGGCTATGCCACTACTCCGAGGTGTGCATTGCTTTAGGACTAAGGTTGGTCTTCAGGAAAAGATGTCATATCCGCCCCTCGAATGAAATTACCAGTTCCGAATCGATTTCACTAACAACGACACTTATTCCCGCCTTTCGTCGAAATTGGAGTTACATCAGTCGTCCTACTTAGTGCTTCTGGGGGATCGATTGTATCAAGGAGGTCGGCATGGCTGCCCCGCCTGGCGAAATTGATTGTACTAAGAGTGGTGGCATAGCTGCCCCGCCTGGCGAAATTGATTGTACTAAGAGTGGTGGCATAGCTGCCCCGCCTGGCGAAATTCGATTGTACTAAGAGTGGTGGCATAGCTGCCCCGCGCCTGGCGAAATTGATTGTACTAAGAGTGGTGGCATAGCTGCCCCGCCTGTAGACTTTATTGCCCTGTGCCTCCGACTCGCCTAGAGTTGACCTTTGGATGGGTTTGGGGTAGTAGTGATATTATTGTAGGTTTGGTAGCCTCCTGTTGGGTGATGCTGATGGCATCATCCTGATGTGGGAGGCTCTACCAAATGGTGGAGTATCAGGTGTGCTCGGGTTAGTCACAATGGATCAGCCCTCAGTTGGTGTTGAGCTATGGCTGAACGATCCCGACGAGCTGTCGAGACGGACCTCTCGGACAATGAGGGAGGCACTGGGTCCCACCCGACCCGCCTACGATACACCTCACTTCGACAGTTGAACCATTGGATTGATGAGGCCGGTTTCGGGTGGTTCCATTGGAAGATGATGGTAGCTGTTAGCGGCATGTAAGACAGTCCTTCTTTCTGACTTGATAATTCTCTCATCAGGCAAATGCAGGACGGTGCTGAAGTCGTATTGATGTCTAGCATACTGCAGGCCCTTCAAGAGGAGTGGCGCTTCTCCAATTGGATAAGAGGATCCCTTGTCGGCCTTATCTCTTTCCTTCCGAGAAAGCAGCGATTATTATCAGGTATCTGTTCCATTCGTCGGAGTGTTACTTGGCAGCCTCATGGCCGGCCACATTGCCGATGTCGTGGGCCGTCGACCTGCCATCCTCACATCGTAAGGACTACTTCTCTTCATCTCCGAACGACCTCCCCGGCCCAGGTACATCGTCATGGTCGTAGCAGGTGTGTTCTCAGCATTTGTCAACACAGTAGACGGCCTCATGATCACGAGGATATTCGTTGGCTTGTCTTACGGTGATTGCCTCAGTGCTGAGCAGGAAGTCATGCTTCCTCGTAGGTGTGGTGACTCCCAGTACTCTCACCCTTCTCTTGGAATGCACCCCTTCTACCAAACGCAATGTTGTTATTGCCTTCATCCTTGGAATGTTTTCTGCCGGCCAGCTGCTGGTCACGGTGAGTGTCTCTCGGCTCGTTGTCCCCCACCCTCCCCTTTATAGGCTCTTCTATGGTGGTTGATGCCGGACCTGCGGCTCCACGGTGACAACTGGCGCTGGGTTAGTGCCCTTGCTATCCTGCCAGCACTAGCATGCCTCCCATTCGCTGTGTACGTCCCCATTCACAGAAATTGATCTCAGGAGAACTCTCTCTCTCAGTTGCCTTCTACGCGAGTCGCCTTACTATCTTCTGTGTCACCATCGAATAACGGAGTTGGTAACTCTCCTGAAGGAGATGGGTCGATGCAACGGCACCTCCGAGAAGTTGTTGGACCTTAGTGAAGTGCTCCTACCGTCTTTTCCCCTGCCAGCATAGCTGCTTTTCCCAGGACACCGTTATTCCAGCTGATGTCCCTGTTGATGACGAGAAGCACTCCTTCACCGGAAGGATATCTGGCGTTTTCGCCAAGCGTAACCAGGTCAACGTTGCCCATTTCCCAATTCCTGCCGCAGGTACCGGCTGGGCGACAGTAGCCCTCTGTTTCCTCACTTTCACCGGCAACTTCGCCTTCGTTGGAGTCGCCTATATGCTGCCGATAGCCCTCCGCCAAATGGCTGATAGAGGTACGCTTCAGGTCACGTCTTCTTGCTTAGTTGTGGTCTAGGATGGGATGCTGCTGGCGGCCCAAGCCCAGCCCTCTCCCTTTCTCTCATCACCATAGCTGGGGTGGTCGGGGATGGCCTCTCGTGCCTCGTAGTCGTCGACAAGTTTCCTATAGGCTTGAAGGGGGTCATTGCTGCCTCTGCGTTTGTTGCAGCGCTTCTGGTGAGTTAATATCCTCAGATTGTTCACAGGGAGTACCCCGTCTGTCAGAGTCTGGGAATGATATCTTTGGACCTTGCCGCTCCCATCGTTGGTTTGATGTTGGCATTCCTCTACAATCTCCTCAGTCAGCCCTTCCTGAGCACAGTATACGTCTATATTCCTCATGTAAGGGCTGGACCTCTAGTGGTACGCTTATTCTTGGGCGGCAGATCTACCCCGCCTTCTGTCGGACGACCGGTAGTGGTTTCTGTATGAGTTGGGGGAGAATTGGCGCTGCTGTGGTAGGACTCACGGCCAGGTCTTTCGCTGAGCATGTAACGACAGGTACCTCTCATCTTCGAAGGGTTGGGTAGTCTGAGTGATGATGTGATGGACTCCCGTCCCCCTGCAAACCAGACTCGGACTTGGCCCTTTTCTCTTGCATTGGCGTTCCTCTTCGCTGTCTGCACCAGTGAGTAGTCGACTTTGGCACCCGGATGTCTCTGTACTGACATCCTCTCAGTCGTCGCACTGCCTCTCCCTGACGAAGCGAGGAATACGTCCCTCGACACCTGTGCAGTCGAATGGGCTGAATACGAGGAAGAGGCAGACCAGTCTTCTGAGGAGGAGAGGAAGGCTCTCATCGACGACAACGCCAAGCAGGCATGATTCACTAATAGCCGGCCTTTGCCGCTATCAGCTCATTTTCTCTCAATGTTTTTTATGCTCGACTTCCCTCGAGGCTCGTCGGGAACGAATTCCGCTCCCATCGATGGCATCAGTTCGATACGTATGTGTTGCTGCCACAGTATTCCCGTACCATGAAATGGTTGTATTTGTTGTTGTTGCTCTGACGACTGGGTGTGGCGTTCTGTCCAGTGTTATGCACCAACGCAGTGGTGGCTCGGTAAAAAACGCAATTCTTCATGGGGGAGGACCCATTGAGCAGAGTCCTGTCGGATGCCGCCAAACTAAAGGGGGCTCAGTCGAGCTCGAGGAGGAAAAGGTTCGATGGTGACCTGTTGCTGTCGCAGAAGAATAGGTCGCAGGTTCGAATCCTGGCCGATGCTTCTCCAGCATACCGCCTTCATGGGGCATGAACAAGGTAGAGAAGCATAGTGGTGGAGATGATTGTGTGAAGCAGAGAACAAGCCACCCCTGTTTGTAACCGAGGACTCTTTCGACAACCTCCGAGCATTACCCTATGCCCAAAGGCTAGTGGCTGCACTCAAGTGAGAAGCTGAATCCGTCCCTTTGAGGAAAGCTCACAACAGGTTGAAGGCCGAGGCCACCGACTTGTACGCTAAAGGGGAGTATTTCCTCGCTATGACTAGGTGGGGAGATTCGGGCTGGGATGAGGAGAGGGAAAGTCAGATACAGTCAGGCTGCCGGTCTTTTCTACTACGCTAGGATACTCAACAAAAATTGGAGGGCAGAGGGGCTCAACGATGACTACCTCGTGCTTGTGAGCGACTTGGGGAAAAGTGAGAGCCTCTACCGATGTGTACGCATGATCATTCCTCATGAAGATGAGTCCAGCTGTGCAGTAACTCAGCTCGTCTTGTAGCCGTTCGTTGTGGTGGTAGCATTCGGGCTAACTAGAAAGCCCAATAGAGAGCTCTTTTTAAGTTACTAGCATATCGACATCAAGTCGGCGACGCTATTGGATTTGAAAATGACTTATGCCGCTTCCGTACAGAGTTATAGATAGACAGTATACGATGCGTACCATGACTCGTATCCTTTAGGTGAGGAGGATAAGGCCAGAATAAAGGAGTTCAGAGTGCAGTGCTACAGCAACATCACCATGTGTCTGATTAAGCTGGGTGGGCCAGGAGTCCTTGAAAAGTGACTGAGTCGATGCTCTCACTCAGGCGATGAGATGCTATCAGAAGCTTGCCGTACTTGCGACTTTATATTACAGCTAGATAGCACCAACGTAAAGGCCTTGTTCCGGTAGCTCCAACGAGGGTATCCCTTGGGAAGGAAAGACGGTCCTGTCAGAAAGGCCAAGTGCCTGGTAGAGCCCATGAGCTGTGGCGATGCGGAGGTGGATGAAGCCATCGAGCATCTCAACAAAGCACTAGAGATAGACCCGCACAATAGAGTACCCTAGAGACGATGCTGACCGAGGCAGAGCCCTCTGCCTCTTAGGAGGTGGCGGCCCTACTGAGACGGTTGCGAACGGAGAGGTCGATGACGCGGAATGAAGAGAAGAAGGCTTATTCAGGATGGTGCAGTAGTTTTCCTCAGCAATGCCTCATGGCACTATGCTGAATATGAGTGCCTCAATCCCTCAGCTCGCGGACCCCTCACATCTGTCGATGTCGCCAACACCTCCTCTTCGCAGGCTCAGGTGCTTTGTTGTAGTCTTCTGGTCTTCTTGACGGACATCCATCTCATGAGGCCAGACGGTGTGGTGAATTTATGTTCTTCAGGATAGCGAAATGGACAAGTTGAGGAATGATGTTGAATCGCGACTGAAAGATGCTCATCTGTTGAGGTTACATGACCAGCTGGTGCGTATCGCTACTTTCCCAGTATTCAGAGACATCCATCGTAGCAGGGGGGAAGAGGACGAGGCCACCAACATGGATGTTTATATAAACGAAGTGATTCCATAGACGATGGTGAGGTTGGCCTCGTCAACTATCATCTTCTCAGCTTCGTGACAAGCACCAAGCCTTTATAGAGTCTAGTGCACCAAGAGAGGTCAGTGAAGGTGTCACACTGCGTTCATTGGCTCCTGTGGTTAGCCGCTACAGTTGCTTGAGACTGGCCAGCCGGATGATGCCCTTTGTAAAGATGTGATGGATCGATTCGGCCTGGATCTGAAGGACCCAATAGTAAACCTCTGGCTTGCCTTCGCTGCTCTCCCTGCCTTGAACTCGGCATTGGATGGCTCCTCTGCTGAGTATACAGGTATTAGTCGAGCTGAAGAGATTATTGGCCTCTCTGAGAAAGAACGATGCCTCCTCCTCTACGACCGTGGAATTGGCACTAGCAGTAGCTGTCTGCAGGAGGGGCAGCCATCATTCGTTTTTGAATCCTTTCAGGCGAGTCAGTGCGCGGATTCAATCACAACTAAGGCGGACCAGCGCAGAGAGCAGGCGTAGGCCTCCGAGGTTGAACTTGTTGTTGGATGAAAACCCTCCCAGATGGCATGAAGAGCTCGAGAGGCTCAAGGCAGAGAACGAGCACGCCACGCGGGAGAAGCATCCATGTGAACAGCCTCTCTAACTTTACCGCTCCTCACTCTCCTCCTCGTTAGGGCTCAGCCGACTCGCCAACATGTCGAAAGCTGAGCATCTGGCCATGGGAATTTTCTTCATGCTAGCTATGCACTTCAAACTGCCGAACCTTATACTCGTACAAGTATGTACCCCTCCCATCATCATCCACCTGAACTTGCATCTCAGTTGCCGCAGACTATCACTCGCTCTGTTATCGAGGTGCTCTATGAATGGTTCGCGAACATTCGCGGTTTATTTCGAGCTGATGTTGATGATACCATTGAGTGGCTACATGGTCCCTGATCGTCTCATATTTCCTCTTCTGTAGTTTTCGAGTTTGACAGTTAGTAATTGCTCTCCCTCCGCCCTTGATGTCCGATGAGGGGTAGAGTCTACTCTAATCATTGCGTAACGTTGCCCGTTTCATCGGTTTTCTTTGAGCCCCAATGTGGCCGCAGAATCGTACTCCTTTGTCGTCGGCAAACTCTAGCGTATCATCGTGTTGGAGAGAATCTGCCGAGCCTGCCGAGACTTCCTCAGCATCGTGGAATCATGGTGAGCAGCTAGATGAGGTGAATAACAGGGCGGTCGCCCGGCTGGGGACTGTTGTTACGCTGATGCTCAGGGGTCGGAAGCTCCCGTGCCGGGCTCTCTCAGAAGATCGAAATCAGGCCGGAGTCGTGGTAAGTCTGAGATGCCCTCCCGCTCTTAAGCAGTGCCGACTCCCTTGGTCAGGTACAAGGACGAGTGCTTCTATGAGCGTCACAGACCACAGCGTAGCAGAGTCGTATATAATAGCCATCTTTGAGGCTGACTCCTTCGGCTTTCATAGAGCTACTGCAGCCGAACCACGGGAAGTCGGCCTTGCCCTATGCGGAAGGTATGGCGGCCTGCTGCAGTCGACTATCATCTATCGACAGACTTAGGATGAGTGGTCACTACCTGTAGCTGCGATATAACCTATAACCCATAGGCTGTCTATTGCAGGACTAGGGACCTATAGGCTATAAGTCTTGCGATAGGCATAGACTCTCTCACCCTCGTAGAAGCAGGATCCTCGCCTGAATATCATTGTCGTCATCGATTCACTCCCCTCGGGAGTCTATCCACTACTACTCGCAGGAACTCCCTAACACGAGTATGCCTTTACCAGTACTACGACACTCCTAATTATCTCACCACCAAGAGAGCTCTAACGGGATGTCCTCCCAGCATCGTCCTTATGTGTGAGGATCTCATGCCGCGAGAGGAGGGGAAGAAGATTCTTCATAGTCGAGGCGCTAAGTCTCGGAGCTCGCTCCAGGCCCAGGTGTGCCCAACATCATGATGATGCTACAGATGCAGTTCGGTTCTGTTCAGGTTCGGGCTTTCTTAGAAGCGGAAGGCTACGGTGACATAGTAGCAGTACAGAGAAAATGCTTTTGTGAGGTGTCCGGTCGGGAGATCCTCGAGAAAGCCCGTCGAGTATCCCACTGCATCAAGATAGATCCAAGGTCCTCTCTGCAATGCAAGCCTACCAGCGGCTAGCTGTTGTCCCCCTTCAGTTCCTACCATGTGTCGGTCGCCTCCTTGGGTGCTCTTGTGGCCTACATCAACGGTAGCACTGAATACAGACTGCGGATGGACTCCTTGATGGTCACCGCCATGGAAAGCCAGAACGTCCTCTCATTGGATTCCCACACCATCCGGGCCCTCATGTTGGTAGAGCATCTCGAACAATTGTCCTATCGTATATCCACTGCCCTTGCTAGGTTGTTCCCTACGCCAACTACTCCCCTAGGTCAGACTCTAAGGGGAGGAGTAGGGAGACCCTACTGTATGTTCAGCAACTCTTTTCTTGTGCTACTTCGGGCGGCCGACGACTCCTCAGACAGTCTCTCACACAACCTCTTTGTGATGCTGGAGCCATCCAAGAGAGACAGGTGAGCTAGTCCTGCCCTCGACCTCACTCTCCCATGGGGTTCGTCTGTGTAGGGCCTGGTGAAGATACTATTGCAAGATGAGGAGCTCTTCTTCGGCCTCACACAGCATGTCCTCCCCTCGGTCACTGA